TACGTCATTTAAAAATGGTCCCGTATCGGCCGCAATCAAATATAGCGGAACGGGTCAACAGAAATATAGTGAAAATTATCCGTAGTTATGTTAAAAATTTTCATAAAAGCTGGGTGGGATAACTATGTCAATGAATTTGCTTTCGCCCTTAGGACCGCAAAACATGATACAACGGGCAAAACTCCTGCTGAGTTATTTCTAGGCAGAAAGGTTATAACACCGTTAGATAAACTATTTTATGTGCAACAAAGAGCCCCAGAATTTTAAAATGGGTGATATAGAAAAACTAATAAAAGAAGCAAAAAAGAATACGGAAGTAGCACAAAGAAAACAAAAATTGTATTATGACTTGAAACGACGGGGAGTAACTTATAAAGTAGGGGATGAAGTTACTAAAAATTAAGCATTCACTTTCTTCAGCACCAGAAGATAAAACTGCCAAATTTTTTCCACGCTTTGAAGGACCATATGTTATAGAAAAAATAACTCACGCTGTTGTAGTGTTAAAGGCAAGAAATGGTGAAACCTGTTCCGCAAAACATTGATCAAATAAAACCCTACTTCGATCGTAATAAAATGCAAATCTTTTCAGATCTTTTGCAGGATCCGGTACGGCAGACACCGCAGGTACAAGTTCCAGAGGTGGGAAAACGACAAGTACAAGGGCAAGCCAATGAGAGACAGAAGCAAGTGAAAAGAAAATTGCCCCGCGGAAAAAAAATTGAAGGTAAAAGAAAAAGAAGCCGTTCCACCGTCCAAAAAACAGAGTTCACGAACACCCCCAGAATGAAGAAGGGGAGAAGGACGACGTATGTGGAAAAGACCAGGAGAAAGGACGGCAACTATAACCCGGCTTGTGAAACGGAAGATTGACTCATCCGACAGAACTCTCCGCAGCAAAAGTCGCCGAACTGCGGAAGGGCCATCAGCGGCGGAGGAAAAAGTACAAGAAAAATTTGAACGGCCAACAACGAGGTCCAAGCAGGATCACGACAGAAGTTTCCCGGTTCCACCAAGACCAGCTGCCTTCAAACGGCCAAGACCACAAGCAGAGGCACAAAAGGAAGAAGATGTTCAAGGGTGGCCGTAGTGGTGAAAAAAACGGAAGCTTCCAGAGGAAAGCACTGAAGGGCGAGCCCGTACAAGAAGGAGGATAAACCAAGCTACGGTCTGCAGCACCTTTAAAGACTGGGCCCAGAAAAGGATGTCCTGAATATTACAAAGATAAGTAAAATTTTATGTTACTTTGCAAACTTAAGTTAATCTTTCATTCTTACTGCAAGTGGCAGATTTCAAGAAGTTTTACCTCATGCGAGGTCTACCTTTATCGCCAAAAAGGGCGAGAAATGAGTTGTGACCGATTTCTTATTATGTTTTTCAATTACTCGCGCGTAAAACTAAAGTTGATGTATAATAGCGTTGTGTAAAGACTTAAATATTGTAAAAAGTTATTGTATAAATTTTATTTAAAACATTCTAGCAAGAAAGAAGTTTTAGTCTGAAAGACTTTTTGAAATGTAGTATTATTTCAATGTAGAAAGAATTGGCACTTGCTTTGAAAAGAATAGAAGTTAACAATGTACTACTAATGTATGTTTTCAAATGTGTAAAATTAACGGCATGTTGATATGTTCTTATATACATGTGAACTGTTATTTTGAATGTTAAGAAATACCGTGATATGGTAAAAGTGAAAGTAATGTTAAAAATTTGTTATTCGTGTGACTGTAAAGATTAAATCATGGCGAATATGTGTGTTAAAGGTTGAATGATGTAGTTAGGCTCTCTGACGCTACACTTTAGAGTTAGCCACTTTCAGAATAGTACCTCAGGGTCTAGAGTTGAAATTAGGGTGTGTTAAGAGGTCTCGTATGTTGAATTTTAACACGTTAGTGTTTTGATTGTAGGAGGAAGTGTGGAACACGTAGACAGAAACACATTCGTGTTTGGTGTTTTTACAACACATGTCAGAGAGCACGGGGAGAGATAATTAAAATAGTCATGAATGAAATAAGAATGTTAAGAAAAGTATATTCTATATGTTATTTGCAATGTCATTCTGTAACATTTCATTAAACTAGTTTTCCTTCCAGATCTCTGGAAGGAACCAGAATTGAATAAAGCTCCTGTTTAGATGCAGTACAGATGAAAAAAGAAAAAAGATTGTTGTATATTCCGGGAGCTGCTATTGTAACAAATTTCTTTCTTTTAAATTTTCTAGTTTCTAGCTAAGTTATGATTGTAAAAAGGTTGGCCTCGCGTTAGTTTCTAGAGCTAAAAGTTTTCAACAAGGTCGTTTTAGACCTCAGTTTCAAACTAATTAACTCTGGCGGGAAGTATGTAAGGATCTTAAGTTTTACTAACGTTTATTTTATTTTAAATCTTTACTATCACTTCTTATTTTCTACTTCCGGCCAGAATTATAAGCGTGAAGGAGTTTTTATGCAAAGTTGTCTGGCGAACGCCAAGTATTTAAGTGTGGCCTTTTTGCCAAGCAGAAGAGAGGAAGCCAGTGAGTTCGAAGCAGGCCGCTTACCTTAGAAGTTACGCAGTTGCTACTTTGCCTTCCAGGCCAGAGGTTTTAATCCTCTTGATAAATTAAACGTATTGTAGTGTTCACAGTCTCTGTGCTACATACGCTTTCTGTTATTATAAGGCCAATCTTATTCTAAAGTTAAATTAGAGTTTAGTTTTATTTTGATATCTTTTAAGTTAGACCCCGAGTGGAGGGTCATTGTATTCCGAAGTACGGAAGTCATTGTATATAAAGAAAAAAATAAAGGGTTTTGTATACCCTTCGTCTGTATCCTGTCTACTTACTACAATTAGTGAACATAGCTTTAGTAAGCTCTCTGTTCTAGTCAGGTCATTGTATGTTTCCGAAGAAGGTTAGAAGAAACATTGAACCTGATAAGCTCAGTCGAGAGGTTGATAGTAGGAAAATAGGTGGTACAAGTCGTTTAGATGCCATGCCTTGGTATGTTCCCAGTCAGAGCTCTCAGAAGTTAGAATTTAGATGAGTCCTCGTGTATTTGACCTAAATTATAAATTGTTGTGAGAAGTCTTACGATTGCGAAGTTTCACTTGCAGTAGAAGAGTTAATTTCAAATTTTGTTATTCTTGCAAAGGACAAATACTTTCCTCTCATGTAGGTAACGATTAAAACAAATATACTTTTAGAATTCTGGAATACTTTTAGAATTTTCTTGTGAATTATAGTAATATTTTTGATTAAAATTTAATTAGATTACATATCATCTATGAATTACATTTCACTTTTTAAACAAATGACTGTTCTGCAGAGCTGGGACAAGGATGAGACACTTGTGCATTAAGGAGGGCACCAAATTAGCTATGAAATTTTAGAAATACATTAAAAAAATAAATTATTCTGGTTAACTTTCAATTTTGCAACATATCGTATTAAAATATCATATTAGAGCAATAAAAGAGCATTATACTTTTGAACATTTGCCCATTCTCGTGGTTTTCCTTGAGCAAATCAAAAATGTAATTAATTATTACTTAATATTTTGAAGGAGCTGAAAAATCCTTATTTCGCGTTTTATATAATTTTCAGCTTGCTATTATTGTTTTATATTTGTGTACGCGAATTTATATAAGGTTTAAATTAGTAAATCATCATACTTGATTGAAAGTAATAGCTTTTCAAGGAAATAAATTTAAAATTTTATGCGTGTAATTTAATACGACAAGATCATGTCTTTACTTAGTTAATTTAATAAGTTAATTTGGGCATGCGGTTAAGTTCAATTATATCTGGGTTCGAAAATTGCATTAAGAATATTTTTGACATTGCCAATTACTACTGTTAGGATGAAAAATGCTTCATTTAAAAGAATAATGGAAATCCTACAAAATATTCCTCGGATAAAAAATTAATTAAATAACTAAGTAGAATGTAGAAAACAATTATTATCGATTTTGCTTCATATAAAAAAAGAGGTTTGAATGCACTGCTTTTCTATTAATTGTATTAGTAATCTATATAGCATGTTAGTGTTATTTGCTGTTTATCAAAAAAAGTACGTTTTAACGTTTTTATTTTAAAATTATAAATTATTACATGCAGCATTTTAAGTGTTATAAGAGTTACGGTATATGTAGCATATTAATCTTTATTGTATGCAAACTTGTGCAGATATAGTTAATTTGATTTTACGGGGCGCAAGTTTACCTCTTGGCTGACGTGAAAACGTACCTAGGCACGGTTCTTGTGCGGCCAAACAGATACTTTATTGTGTTCGGAAAATCATATTACTTACAATAATGGCGCATGTGTTTGTAAAAAATAACGATCAGCTATACCATAAATCACATAAATGAGGCATGTGTATTATACAATGCATCAGCTGCAGATATAATTAAAAAGTAAAATAAAGCTGTAAACTTATTCAAAAGTATATGCATTGCGTTTGAATAACTCATTTAATTGCACAATTAATATATGCTGTTTAATTTGGCTAAATTAAAATTTTAATGAGCACCTTCCAGATAGTGTAGTGATGAGTGACGCTAACTGCTGTTGTGAATGCCCCAGATCGAATCTAGAAGAATCCTAGATCGAATCTGTTTGTAAATTTACTGTGTCTGTGTGGCATGATGATACTCAAAATATATGTCAAGCCAAAAGTCCTAAGAGGGGTAGGAGACCGTCAAACCCCCGCGGTAGTATCCCTTAAAATCGGGGCGGAAGTGGACAAAGTCGTACTGTCGTCTATATGGTGTTCAAGGGTCCAGCGGCAGACGCGATCTTGCTCTCCCTAGCATGATAAAATTCGTGGACTTGTTCTTATTAGACCATGCAGGTGAGATTAGTCACAACAACAACAAGATTTTATCGGCCTTCGAATGACAGCGCCTGTGAGAAATGACAACTGGAGAAGCCACGGCAGTTTTTAATGCATTTAGTATCAAATTTCACAAACTATTTCAATTCCTTTAAAGTTGATGTTTTATCATGTATTCCTATATTCCAGGTAAACGGGAGAGATCTATCGAAGCAGAAACACGAGGAAGCTCTGGAAGCTTTTAGATCAACAAGGGACCCAATAGTTGTGGAAATCACCCAAAGACCGACGAAGTCGGCAGTTCATTCAGCCCCCAAGATCGGCATGGAAGCCGAGTCTGCAACATCAACATCATCATCATTCGTCTACTGCGACAGTTGTACGCAGACGGAGTGGACCGGAGGTTGGGAATCTTCCCCTATTGGTCTGTTCCCTTTCAGTCAAAATAACTTAATGCAGGCTTCTGGAATCCTTTTTGGGAACGACGAGGACATGGAACATCACTATGAGACTCTGGAAGAAGCTTTTGGTCATGAAGATGACGACGATGAAATAGCTTGCGAACTTGAGTATGAGGTATGTTAACTTTCAGCTTTCAAACGGATAACAAACTCCGTTTTAAAATATATAAAAAATAAACCTTTCGTAACAGTATATACAGTAATTCCAGATTTATACAGTCCTTACACTGTCTTAAACTATCTGTATTTCATGGCCAATGTCGGCTGTGTATTACAGATAACATTCTCCTGAATCCGTTCTTTATCATGAGATTCCTATCCCAGCTGTTTAATCAGTCAGCCTGGCGCTTCTCAGCTTATATTTAATTCAGCGTAATGTAAACAAGTGCATTTCCATTAGAAAAATCAACCCCAATTTAGGAATACTTTAAAAATAAGAAAAGGTAAACAATATAAATGTTGCATACAAGAAAATTGCGTTTATAAAAGCTATTTTAAGGTTATTTAATTTCTTTACATTAATTTAACTCAATAATTAATTCTTAGTCGTGGAAACTTTGAGACATGCTTTCAAAAGTCCATCCAGTTTGGAATTTCCCTTGAACCGAACAGCTTCTCACCAGAAAAAATTTCTTCATTATTAGATTTCTTTTCAAAATGCCATGAATTTAATTCGCTTATATGAGCAATAGTGAAATAAATTATTTCTCTGTTTTTTCTTCTACCGAATGATTTCTTCTTGTTTTCACTTTGTAGACTTGTAGACTCTGTAGGCTCACTGTATTGCTTTTAGGGTTTAGCTCCTGAATTTCGGAAAACTTACTAAGATAATCAGACTAGCTACCGCTGCGTCTGTGAAATAACAACTGAAAAAACTGAATCAGTAAAACGTTTAAACAACCTTTTTATTTAAAGCATTAAACTTAAAAAATGTACTGCTTTTGCTTACAGTTTAAATTTCCACAGCTTGGACGATGTCAGTGAACAGAAATGTAATTTTAAAATTTAAAAATAATTTTATGTTGGAAACTACATTGCAAAAAGCCTAACAAGCGCTGACTCAAATTTAGACTAAATTCTCAGAGCTGGACGAAAGAATAGTATTGCTGTCAGCATCGCTGCCAAAAGTCTGTAATGTATATTTTAATTTTGAAACCTTTTCCTATCAATTCTTGTTTCCACTTTCAACTCCCTACCAGAATGAGTTTTTAAAATCGCGTTGAATGCAAATGAGTTAGAGGAAGTATTTAAGAAAATGTCAACTAACTTCGATTGAGAGTGCTAGGAGACCTTAGTGGCGTGTGTTTGCCTTCTGGCTAAGTCACTCCTGAAGCTGTTACGCTTGGCCGTATTATACGTGCCTATGGCTATTCGCCGGCTAGTTTAATTTAAGGGCTAACTACGTTAGATAATTGTGTCTAACCTCGGTAAAACCCCAAGTAGAGGCTTTCCTATAAGCCCGAGAAGGGGCCAACTGTTATTCTTATTTGAGGTGAATAAAAGTGTATTTTAACCCTTCTCGAGTCTTAGTTATTTGAACTCAGCGATAAGTCGCTACATAGGTTCCTCGACGTTTCATCTTAGGCAAGGGGCGAGGAACCCTACAAGCTCCCTGTCTTAACTTTAGAGAACTTATTCAATTACACGTATCTCATTTACATCCTGATGAGAGCTAACGAAAAAAAAAAAGAGGTGATTCATCTTCTCTTTCACATTTAAATCTTCTTCTGATTCTTATTCTGTAGGCATTATGAGCCAACACCTTGGATCATAATCAATTGGTTGCAGTATACGAATGTTTCCTGTCTCGTTGGGTTTGGTTTTCATTGTACAACCATGAAATCTGCGAGATGGACATCATTCTAGACTTTTTAAAATCAAATCCTTGCTTCTCACATTTTTTTTTCAGCAGCAGATATGCTGTTAGTCCCGATCCTCACTTTTTGTTTGTCCATACTACTTTTATGTCCGTATCATTTTTCATATAAAAGGATGCTGCCACCAAATGTTATCGTCATGTAATATTTTAAAGAAATAATATAGCAAATATAAAAAGTGTATGGCATTACAAAAAAATAAAATGCTGTTGCCACCAATCGCTATGTATTATTTTTAATGAAATAATAAAACTAATAAAAAATGTGTGGCAATACTAAATACTGCATCGAGAATTCTAAAGATATGCTGTTTCTAAATATTTTATGAAATTTAATTTTTTTCTGATTTTGCTTTATAGAATTTTATGCCAGTACGATGAAAGTTATGTTTATATAAATAACGTTAAAAAGTCAAAATAATAATAATGCTAATAAAAAAATAAAAAAAGACAAAAAAACTGAGTAAACATTGTAAAAAATACAAAACGTATGGGGAATCTTAACAATCTGTCAAGAATTCAAAAAATATGCTGCTTTTAATAATTTTGTGTTTTTACTGCTGAAATTTATCTAGCATAAGAATGTTTTTTTAAAAAAATTTAAAAATTGTATTAGCTGGACTGAGTCCAAGAGCAGATTGGTGAACTGCGAACACAGTGAGAGCATAAGGAAACTCAGCAAACCCTCTGGTGCAACAATAAACTGGATCCCTTCAGCTTTGATTTTTATAAATTTAATTTTTAATCTGATTTAATTTTAGTCTCTTCTAGTTTCAGTTTGAATAATCTTCGGATTATATCAAATATTGGCCTCTTCATCTGTTAATTTTCTTAATCCCGATCATGAAAATGGGGCAAATATCCGAGGAATATTATGAAATATGCTCTGCTATTTGTTTTAAAAATCATGTTGTTAAGATTTTCTTGACAAAATGAAAGGTTGTAAGTCCTTTTTTCAGGAGCTCTTCTCAGTTATCAATTTCTTATGGATTAATTTTCATAACTTTCGATTAATATGTTTTATCATCAAAACATTTTCTGCTATGGTAAAGCCATTCATACATCTATGTCATTTGCAATACTTATTTCAATGCTGCCATTGTGATCAAATGTGAGATCATTAAAACTTCTACGAAAATGTCCTTCTGTAATTGCTTATAATTACTAAATTTAACTTCCTGATAAAAAATCAGTACTTATCCCATCATTGCGTTGATATGTGACATTATATTTATGCAGCTGAGGATGGTGGTTCGGTAAAACTATCGAAACTAGTCCTGTGAAAATTTTGAAAATGTAACGCTGATTTTTGTTGTTTGACTTCTGAATTAGTATTTATTCGGCGTTGTGTCTTAATTATATGATATGGTTTATTTTATATATTGAACTTATATGCTTGAATAAAATTCGATGATTTAGCAATATCTGAGCATTAGTAGCCGTTTTAGCATTATTCAGATACATAGGGCTTGATACGCAGTAACTACTGTGCATTCATTTACAGTTATAAATTTCCTTTAACGTCTCTCTTAGCTCATCTACGTCACGCAAAATCACCATTAGTTGTAATTTACTTGAATGTTATCTAATGTTTATATTCAATATCATTAGTCTCGTTGCTGACGTAGTTAACGAAATGCGAATTATTATCGTTATGAAGATGCAATAGCACTTCTTCAAAGCAATTTGAATTGTGATCTGTGTACCCTCCAGGATTTGCATTAAGCTATATTGTGTCAAAACGGCTCTGTTAAATGGATGGTATTTTAGAAATAGAACGCTTTTTAGTTCATTAATCTACTTTCCACATTTAATGGCTTTCCGTTTTTCCCGGCAGTGCTTTTTGAGTATTGTCTAAAATACCTTGTTCATTCTAAAAGTATCCTTTTTCATGAGTACTCTTCGGTTGAGGAAGTTTTACAATTGCCTGCACCTTTCTATTTTAAGGTATAGTTTAAGGTATTAGTGCAATGGTGAACCTCGATAAATATAAAATGTAAAACTTTTTAGTGTCTTTCTTTATCACAAAGCAAACTTCGAAACTATGCTGTTAAGCATAGCATTAAAATATTTCGGTTCTCCATTTTCGTCAAGTGACGGTGTTCTATAACTTCTGACTTGTATTTATATGTTAATTGTGCCAGCCGATTTCTCTAGTTTGGTTGTGGGGCTCCAACCTGCTGTCTAACAGTTAAATGTGTAGGAACCTCGTGAACAGGTAAGCGAATATTCGCTTTAGTTCAGAAACAGATACGTAAAATTTAAGAAAGGTTAATTCCCCTTTATATCTGAAAATAAGAAGTTCACAGATGATCCTTTCTCAGGACGTACAGCAAATTCCCCACTTGGGCTTGAACTCAAAGCAATAAGAAATAAAACTTAAGCTTAACTAAAACGATATAGCCCAAGCTATCAAGATTTCCAAGTAGTTGGCCCCTAAATATCAAATAAGCTGGGGAAGCTATCAGGGGCCTGAAATACGGCCGAGCGTATTAATAGCTTAGAGAGAGTGTAGCCAAAAGGCGAAACGCGCGCTAGCCAGAAGCTCTATCTCTCTAAACAATGTCAGTGGAACTTCGACTTAAATACCGCTCATACTCATATGCATTAAACACGTTTCTAAAAACACATTCTGGTAGGAAATTGTAAGCTGAAATTAAGAAGGATAGGAAAGTAGCTTTAACTAAAGATAAATGTTAAAAACTTAGGATAAACCTTACATACTAACTATATAGCAGCTAAAATCTACAAGATCTGGCTCATTATTCTTTTAAGCTTTATAAAACTATAACATGACGGTAAAAGAAATTCCTTTTTACTTTACCACATACCAGATTTTAATTCATTATTTGTTTTGTGTAAGTCAGTGGAACTTCGACTTAAATATCGCTCATTTGCATTGACTTAAATTACTCATTTTAAAATTTAATTAAGTCAATGCAAATTACTCATTTGCATTAACCGTGATTTTAAAAACATATTCTGGTAGGAAGTTGTAAACTGATATTAGGAGGGATAGAAAAGTAGCTTTAACTAAAGATAACTGTTAATAACTTAGGATAAACCTTACATGTTTTTCTGTTAGTAACTTAGCACTGAAATTGAAAAGAACACTATCGATCAAAGTTTTGCTAACAAAATGTGGTAACAATCAAAGGTTTGCAATAAGCATTTAGTTTTCTCAATATTTTCGTATTTATGTAATTTATCTACCCTTTCTTTTGGCCTCTTGAATCTTG